ATGTAGACTTAATGCTTCTTAACTTCGCATATACCTACTTCTTTTGCACCGAAACCGGCCATTCCCATTGCTTGAGATATTGAGAGCAAAGCATCGTCTCGCATCATTTTATTTTTTTTAAATTCAGCGATTTAATATTGTATAAAGATTCGTGTTTCAATAATTCCTTGACAAATTTAATGTTATTGCTATCTGACCACTTTCGCATTGTTAAAAACAATAGCGTAATAAACCAAATTTATAAAAGGAAATTATTATAAAAAATATATATATATATATATATATATATATATATATATATATATATATATATATATATATATATATATATATATATAAGGTGGTATAGGTGTAAAGACTGTTTGAGGGCTCAGAATGGTAGGTGTTGTGCAGCTAATTTAGATCTACGCTCCCTTCAGGAATTCAATTGAAAGTAACGAACTAAAGAAATATGATGAACAATTTACTGTTTTTATGAAAAAGAAATCATTAAATAAGGTAAGGTTGCATAAGAATTTGTCATCTTACTTAATCCGCAAACATGAGCATTACCCATGCAATAATTTGTAAAGCCCAAAAATGCATATATCGGTTCCTCATAAAACAGAAGAATAATAATACATTGTTTTTTATATTTGTCGTTTTTTTTTCAGAAATAGTGGTAAATTTACAAAATATTCTCAAAAAATGCATCCACTTTCGTTAATACCTCGTAATTAAAAAATAGATTTCATTAAGTATTTTCTATAGGGGTCATACAACAGATAATGAAAACTTTTCTTATGATAGCGTAATTGATTAATCGCTTTAGTCATTTGTAATCGGCCAACAGACGTAAACGTATAATGTAATCACATATTTCTACGCCGACATAAAAGTAGGCTCAATACAAACAACAACGATAATAAAACAAATGTAATAAAGAGTAAAACTGGACTTCATAACTCAATCATATTTATTCGTATTTTTCTAGGTTTGCATAAAAATAACTCAATCTAAGAATAAATGGTTTTTTATATTTAATTAAAAGTAAAAACTAACTCCAAAACAAAAAGAATAAAATAGTTTCACTTTCTACACAGTAGCATCCGAAGCCGGTGCTAGGCCACGGTGGATCGACAAATTGAAGCCTCGACTTCAGAAGCTGTTAGATATTATGTGAAAATTATTTTATTATTCTTATAATAAACGTTTATTTTTTTCTTGAGTGACTCAAAATATCACAAGTTTAAGCTAAAAACTAGAATGTCGTCTAAATAGTAATTTTAAAAACTTAATCCCGTATTTTTGAGGCGAATAGTCGAATACCAATTAATAAATATACAAAATAATTAATTGTTATCAAATAGTAATACTACCGTAGTAGTCTCTTGAATTTACCTATCATTTATATGTTATTGTGATCAAAAAAAATCTGAGATTATGACTATTATCATAGCAACACTTTTGTTGTACGTAACATATTTTACGGAAAATAACCTCATTTTGTGTAAGAAATGGCGACCAAAAGATCTCGCTTAGAGAATGAAAAGGGGGGTTACGTTTCAGAAACTAATGAGCTATTTTGGGCATGTTTCGAAGACTCGAAGTCTACGAGCACAGAGCAGCCTAATGAAGAGCAATCCAATAATGCCATTGCTGATGAAATTGTGAACTACATCAGGTTAGATAAGAACAGGACAGAAATGTAAACCCATATGTATGGTGATCTTGAAGTACCGATAAGAATCGATTCCCAATTTTAAGTAAGCTTGCTAAACTATACTAAGTCACACCAGCGAGCTCTGTTTATTCAGAAAGACTATTTTCGGAGGCAGGTTTGGTTTACACAAAAAGTGGAAACGACTCGATCCCAGTCGTGCAAAAATAATAGTTTTTCTGCACCAAAATATGAGATATATTTTAGACTTTGAATATTAATTAAAAAGCCTTATTAACTTCAACATGACTGATATTTGCTAACTTTACTTTTAATGATGATTATATATTAATACTAAGTGTGTTTTGTTTAGAAGATAAATACAAGTAATTATTTTGTCTATCTAAAATTTTTCTGTCCATTTAATAAAAGTTTATTTTATTTAGACTATTCGCCGAATATCGAATAATGAACACTATTACTCATTATTCGACGAGTAAGTAAAGCCAGAGTAAAAAATGCCGAATACCGCATAATAGCGAGTATCCGCGGAATCTCTATAAAATATTTTCTACAAATGCATTAACGACCCTTAGGCCCCCCCTGTAGAGTAATATATTTATTGAAACAAGAATTGTTTAAATCGGTTGTGAGAATTTTCCACCATCAGCCTTCCGATCGACTACTCTAATTAAGCTGAGCAACGATGCAGCGCACATATTTACGATATCAGGTGAGGGGTCCGTTCTTTATGTAGTATTATTCTCATACGCGTCGCTGAGCAGCCGGACGCGGCACCGATGGAAAATTCCGTCGTAGATTATTTCAATCTTCAAATAGAATCAGGTGTTTATATTTTTTAGTGTCGCGAAGTTTTCCACTACACGTGCTAGGCGATTTTTGACTGTGTCTCGCTCAACCTAGGGTCGTTTAGGTCGGCTGTCGATGAATTAGGCGGTCGTTAGTCCTCCTCACTGTTCCCCTCACTAACCGCGTATGGTTTATTTGTAGCAAATTTAAAACGAACTTACACATGCCCGCTCTACACTTAGTTCGTAAAACGCGCGGGGCGTCGCGGCGAGATAACTCCACTGGTTTACATATTTCAAGAAGATGTACGTCTTCTGTTATGCGCATTAACGTACTATCAATCATTATAAATATAATATAATAAAGATATTAAGGTTTGGTAAAAGTGAAAATGGTGGATATGAAGTATCTATCGTAATAGTTAAGGAATCTAGCATTTTCTATCAGATACTGGAGTATACAAATTAAGAATTATAATATATTCATCCATTCTGAGTATAAAGTAGATGTAATTTATCTAAGTATTTTATTATAAACTTGACTGTTCTTCATTTTCTTTATTAATCCAAAATGCTGGATACTAAAAGTAATATTGAGCCTTGCAATTTCGCCTAAGTTCGCTTTTCGCGCTTTTTTTAGGGCGCGCTAAAAGCTGACAAATATCGGTAAATAGTGCACAAAGAAGGCGCGAATGTACGAATCAGATCCACATTAAGCGTTCTCACAATGTACGTGCCAATTTACGGACTAAGTGTGAACAGGGCCTTATTTCTAGATACCGTGACGCGCTGTAGGTAATTTTCCGTTTGCGAATATGGGCCAGAATTGACTGACGGGTTTGTGTTCGTAACACTTTGGGCTGTCACTATATGTGTGACGTAAGGATAAAATTTAATTTTTATCGGGAAAATATAGGGAGATTGTATCTACATGTGGTTGTATTAATTATAGTTTCTTGATAAAATTTCGTTTGAAAATTCGCATGGTCTACTACGATAACGAATGCGTTCTTAAAAATGCAATAAAAGCCAATCTCAAAATTCTTGTTTTTAAAATCAATGTTTGGAAGTCTACGAAGTCTACGAAAATTAATTTGTCGTCAAAACTAATAAATAGGGCGGCCATTTTGAAAACACCTGTCTCTGCGATCACTGTCAAACTGAACTATCGATTTGATACCTCAAAATTAATATTAATGGTTAAAGATATTTTACTCTCAAATGAAATATACATTTCACTTAATGAGAAGTTTGAAACGTATATTTCTCTATTATCAGTACTAATATTAGGGGAGAGGTGGTATACTTGATCCCCGAAGATACATGATCCCCCATTTAAAACTAGCGCCAAAAAGTGTTTTAAGGTGTTCTGTTGGCTGCATTGGGATGCCGCCATGTTGGCAAGTACAAATAGTAAACATTAAACCGAAACAACAGCTCGTTGCCAAAATAATTGGAAATTTATGTTTTTATCGGATCTTACTTGTTTTGTTTAGTGTACGACAAATCGAAAAACTTCAGGTACGTGTACTTTACAATTTTTTGTTTGTATTTATGAAATATTGTGTGTATTTAGCTGTGTAAATTCAATTATTTCCGAGTCAAATGTTTTCATCTTGTTGCTGTTTTTTTCCATTTTAAATAAAGTTACTGCTTCGGGATAGTTGATCCCTTTTGCTAGGGGGATGCTTGATCCCGGAGTCAAGTATCCCACCTATAATTCTTTTGTTTGGGTCAAGAAGTAAATCTCATAACTTCCGTTCTTTTAGATGCCGCGGAAGTACGTATCGAAGCAAGGAGCCATGAAGAGGGTACCTTACGACCCGGAGGCCTTGAAAAATGCGGTCCAAGCAGTTAAAGATGGAGCTGCTTACAAAACCGTCGCAAGAGAATTTAAAATTAATGTCATGACACTTAAAAGGCTATGCCGTCGAGACTCTTATGTTCAACCTGGTTTTACCAATAGACAAATTTTGTCTAAACGTCACGAGGTTGAGCTAGGAGCGTATCTTGTTCATATGTCTAAAATGTATTATGGACTTACCGTTGTACAATTGCGTAAGGTAGCTTACCAATTCGCCAAAGCAAATAAGATGAAATACCCCTCTTCATGGGATCACTCGCAACAGGCGGGTCGCGATTGGTATCGTGGATTTTTGGAGAGACAGCAAACTCTATCCTTAAGAACTCCAGAGCCTACCAGCTTGGCGCGAGCGACAGCGTTTAATAAACACACCGTGGCGGAATTTTTGGAAATTTGACTGCAGTTTTTAATAAGCACGAATTTACTGCCGAAAGGGTGTGGAATATTGACGAAACAGGGGTAACAACTGTCCATAAACCCAGCAAAATTATTGCAGTTAAGGGTTCCAAACAAGTAGGAAAAATGACATCGGCCGAACGAGGTGAGCTGGTTACCGTTTGTGCCTGTATCAACGCTGCCGGGGGCCACATCCCGCCATACATGATATTCCCCCCGAAAAAACTGGCAGGATAGGTTCCTCAATCATGCCCCTCCTAGCAGCGATGCAACTACTCATCCTAGTGGATGGATGACGGGCGACAGTTTTATAAAATTCCTCAAGCATTTTGTTCGTCATGTTCAACCCAACGCTGATAGGAAACACCTCATCATCATAGACAATCACGAGAGTCATTGTTCTGTCGACGCCCTCAACTACGCAAAAGACAACGGAATCGTTCTTCTCACAATTTCACCACACACATCCCACAAGCTGCAGCCATTAGACAGGACTGTTTTTGGCCCCTTAAAAACCTTTTATTCTCAGGCAGCATCAAATTTTATGCTGAGACACCCCGGGAGAACAATCACAATCTACGACGTTTCGGAACTGTTAGGGGAAGCTTTCCCAAGGGCTATGGTGCCTACCAATATAATTAGTGGCTTCAGGGCGGCTGGAATATGGCCTATAAATGCCGACATTTTCACGGAGAGTGAGTTCATGACCAGTTTAGTTACGGACCGCCCTCCTCCTTCTCAACTTGAAGAACCAACACAGAGAAGTGTGATAGCGTCGGACTGCCCTCTCCCTTCTCCACTTGAGGAGCCCGTACAAAGCAGCAGTGTGAGTGAACGCGCGTCCCCATCCTCACTTGGAGGATCAGTGCCGATGCACTTTTCACCACAGGACATCATGCCCTACCCCAAGGCAGGTCCACGCTCGCAGTCGTCGCGCGGGAGAAAGCGAGGACGTACTCGCATCCTAACCGATACTCCGGAAAAAGCAGCCATCGAAGAACAATCAAATAAAAAGTTGGCGAAGATAGCAGAGATAGAAATGAAAAGGAAGATTAAAGAAAATAGGCCTACCAAGAAAACAGTGAGACAAATCTTTTCACTAAAAAAAATTGACGATGACACCTCATCTGATTCTGATGAATGTCCTCCACTTCCATCATCGTCAGGGGGGGGAAGAAGAGTTATGCAGTGATGGCGAGGGTCATAGAGCTTTTGAGCCCATCAGAAAAGAAGTAGGGGAATTTGTAGTTGCAATTTACAATGGTTTGTCATACCCAGGAAAAATTACAAAAATACATGAAAACGGGGCTACAATAAAAGCAATGGAAAAAAGTGGAAGGCTTTGGAAGTGGCCAGCAATGGAAGACGAAATATTTTATGTGTGGGGTGACATTTTGGGACACTTGCCGGAGCCGACGAAATTTTCAAAAACACGTGACATTTATTCCGTGCCACTTCTCGAATAATTTTCCCATTTATTTTTTTGTCTGTGTTTTCAATTTTTTTATGTTGTTTTCATTTTGTACCTACTCATCTTTCGAATCGTTAATTACAACTTATTAAAAGTAGACCTAAGTTTATTTAATTTCCATATTTAGGTAGGCCTATGGCTGAAACTTTGACGGGTGGGATGATTGATCCTCCGGGATCATACAACCCACTCACCGGGATCAAGTATCCCCATAGGGAGGGTTACTTGATCCTTGTGTCGGACTTTAAAAAAAACCCTTTTTGTCGTTTTTTTTAATAAATAAGAAGGTCTGTATTGGTGCTAAATCAGTAGTATTGAACGGAGATACATGTGTGATTTAAAAGAAAGTCAGATTTATGAAAATGGTTCGAATTACTAAAAAGAAAACCAAAACAGGGATCAAGTATACCACCTCTCCCCTACAAAGTACCTAATTATAAAACAAATGTTTGGCGGCCTTTTTCTTAAGTTCTTACAATTAATTGATGTTCTTAGAACGTGCACTCCCAAAGAGCAATCTGTGAAGACAAAAAGTTTCTGTCAAGAAATTGCCAGCAACCCGGATTCAGGAAGTTGGTAGCGTTTCGCCCGTGCCTCGCAAAGCACGTAAAACCGTAGGTACTGCGCCTGATCTCTCTCCGGTCCAATCTGACTATGAAACAACATCATGGGTATGTTTCAAAATAGAACCCAGTGTACTGTCCAATGTAAATGACGTCATGAATCGACACCATACTGGTGATTCGTTCCAATACATAGGACAGTATATGACGAAGTCTATCATACATTGGCGCCATATTGGAAAAGTGTTGGCGATTATTATGTCATTTTTTGCTCCAAAGATCATGATATCCTCCTAATGGAGATACCAGCAATTATTCTATAATTTTTTGTATTTGAATAAATAAAAACAATTTCTGGCATGCTTCATTCAGCGTACACACAATTAAAAATTGTTTTAGTAGGTATGACCGGATATCCGACACAATATGGTAGCGGCACGCCAGTACAATATGGCGTCAATCGATGACGTCATTTGTAATCGGCAATATACTGAAAACGTTTCGGAACATATCTCATATCTACGAAAGAGTTCGTGGTTCGTATATCGCGCGGCCCTCCATCTTTGCTACTTCAGCACACTGATTTGTTGGTATATATCGGTTACTCCAGTTCTACAATAGATATTATTATTACGAAGTCTATCATGCAGAGAAACTCCGAGTCTTCTGCATAACCGCTGTGAATCTGTTGAAGGTGCCTGATCAGCACGGAACATTGCAACGCAGCATCCCAGTAACCATGTTACTACCAAGATGACACACTAGTGACACACGATGATACACTAGTTGTTAGTGCTGATTAATTTTAGTGTATAATATAAAATTGTATTACTATTAAGTTATATAAATTGTAGCAAGTCGTAAATAAAAGTCTCTATCAACGCTGGACCACGACTTCGTTATTATCGCCGTGACTTCGGTTAAATCTGGTATTCCTCTCACTGTGGCCATAACACCTGTAGCCATTAGAACCCGTGATTAGTTTTACAAGCCTACTTAACTGTCAGTGAGTAAACTCTATTACCTAAGCCTTTACACCCTATCTCTGTCCGTCTGTTACTTTAGGTCTCATGGTGTAGACATCCCGCCCTTATCTAATTCATTTGTGTATATGTGGTAGGGCTAGGGTATTAGAGACTGGTAGAGACTGCTGAGTGTAATTAACTTAGTTAGGGTATGTAGGGTTCTATACTTCTGCCGTACACATATGTAGCCAGGTATTTGTACTATTGAAGGGTAATTGGGTTAACATTTAAATACTCGTAAATAGCTACCTTACTGTACAGTACCAACGAGTAACAACAACCTGTGTACTCATCTGAATACATAAATACTATTGTGAAAAAGAAACAAAATTATCTTAAAAAATATAATATGTAGGTATTAGTTAAGAAAAAATACAGTGCATTGCACATTAAATTAAAGTTGTTTGACACAACGTCGACATTGAACTAGTTACTTGCTGTTTCATCGCCTTGGCTGGGGACCACCTGTAAATAATGGTTTGTAATTTGTACTGTTATTTATAATATCTTTTTATATATAAAAGTTACGTGTCACATTGTTTGTCCGCGATGAACTCCGAAACTACACAACTGATTTCAATGAAATTTTGTAAACGTGTATTGCGTGCTCCAATTTCGATATTTTTATTACGAGGACTTTTTAAGACAAAGAGTAGTCGGAAAGGGCACAACAAAGTCTATCAGGCCAGCTGCTCACCCTCTTTCGTTCCGTGAATGTAGCAAGAGGCGACTATGTGAAATATTAAAATAATCTCATTATTGTCGATTGATAACGAGCAATAGCGGCATATAATGAAATGCTCAGATAGGACACGATCCGTCTAACTCTACAATCGGACTACTACACATAAATACCCAGATCGCTGACTAGAAGCAGTATCAAAACAAAACATCTGTAACTGCGAACGCCAATTCACTAGCGTGGTTAATCAGCGTAGAAAGCGTTTCGGTTATGCCAGTTCTTACCTACAGTTCTTTATTAGTGATCGATGTCTACGACAAAAGAGTCACTATTTAGCAATGGACTTTTATGGTTTCATGAAGTAAAAGTAAATATTAACAGTAATGCGTTTACTTAGATGTCTATAAGAACGCTTTAAGATATTATATAGTTATACCATAATATGTACATTATACTCATTTCATAGTAAAATGTTATTTTGAAACAACAAGAACAAGCTTACAATATGCAGCTCATCTTGTAGATTATTCCTAAAGTGGGAGGAAATAAAATAGATATTTTAATCGTTCGTAGTGTGAATAGATTTTTAATTAATTTATTTATTTAATTCAAAATGTTTGTTTTTATTTTTTGTAAAATATTAGTGCCACAGGCTTCTACTCCGTTCACATGTACCACTCTTATTTTTCCAGACGGTAAAAAAGGTTACCCAGTATATTATACTTATTAAAAACCATTTCAAGTTTAACTGACCACTGATTCTGAAAATATTTATGTCCTTGGAAGAACTGGCAGGAAAACCAACGACGTTTTTTTACAAATAGGTAAGCAATTATTTATCGTTATCAGGTTGTGCTGGTATAATAATACTATATATGTATATTAATATTTTAAAAGTTTTGTGTTTAGTTTTATGAAATAAATCTATTAAAATACTTACTAGGTCCATCGACGACATTAACTGAAATAAAAAAGAAGAATATGAGTTATGGCTTAAAAATAAAAACGTGCCGATTTTATCTCTAATAAGATAATAAAGGCAATTACGAAGAACAATACAAATACATTACAGGCCTTATCAAAATTAAAAATATACATTCGTTTTTGTTTATAGTTAGCTGTGTGTATAGCCTATTAGATAACGTGACCATTTTCATCATGTAGATAGATTACATGAGTTTATCACATTGAAGTGCTAAAAATATCATGTAAATTATTATATTAACTATATAATAATCATATTCTTTCAGTGTTAAGGAAATAGTGTGTTTTACTTGAAAGTCTATTTATTGTAATCTGACATGGTGTTTCTTTTAAGCACCGTAAGATTTTTTTAGGTTTTATTTTAAAAATTGGCCATGAATTTGGATATTATAATTATTTGGATATATTTAAAACATATAAGATTTTTAATATTGATATGGTCACTATAAAATGTTGTTAAGTTAGCTAAGAGCCGTGGTAGCTCAGATGGTTAACGCTCGCTGTAAATATAACAGAACGCGAGTAACCCGGGTTCGATTACCGCCGTCACCAATGAAATTGTTAGTTGCAATTTTAAGTGCTGATTTGCCACGTGCTCGGCGGTGAAGGAAAACATCGTGAGGTAACCTGCATGTCTAAGGAATAAGAAAAAAAAAATATATTTCGAAGACATGTGAAGTTCGCCAACACGCGTTGGGGCAGCGTGGCGGACAATTCCTTGCCCTAAAAACCCTATCAGAAATGAGGGGAGGCCTGTGCCCAGCAGTGGTACGTATATAGGCTGTAACTTTACTTAACTTTAAGTTAGCTAATTACGTAATAACTTAAAACAGAAGGACCCTTAACTAGGGACTGAATAAATTAACCGAATTGGTATTACATGGATCTCACAACTTTTTACGGTAGAAGAACTGAGTTGCGAGACTTGTTTTTTTTTACAAGTTATGTTTTTGATGGCATCTCATTTCTTTTTGTAGATAAGATAGTCTTACTGTTTTTCCTTTCCGGTACCTTCTACTTCTTGAATACCAACAACGTTGACTATCTACACCAACTATCTACACCTATTATACATATATACAAATACATGATTCATTCACTGCAAATGTAACTTTGTAATTCTATATATTTATAATGGCATTACAAAGTTATTTATGCAGTTGATCTATCTAGAAAATTGGACCGAAATTATAAAATATTTTAGTTTTTCCCTGATTTATACACTAAACACTAATTGTATTCTAAATTTGAAGCTTCTATGTCTGCTAGAAGTGCCTTAGAGTTTTGATGATCGGTCAGTCAGTGAGAGACAAAATTAAGAAACTTTGACTAGTTATATTTCATAAACTACTAGTTCAAACTGGATGAAATTTGAAATATACCATGTTTATACAATGTCTACTCGGCTTCTAATTTTATCGACCACGAAGTTATAGGGGGTCGAAAATAACCCGAATTGCTTCGAGA